GCAAATCTATGCACCAGTCAGCTTGTGTTTGTGTTTGCAGTTATATGGGCTGTCCTTTGCCCCGAAACGTGTTCAGTGCACTGGACACACCTTGTTTGATAACACACACTGTTCGGCTCCGAAGGGAGTGGCTCTTGTCATATTTTCTTGACTAACCATCCATGTCCTGATATCACACACACACACAGACTCGCAAACTGTGGAGGCCATGTCTCTGAGCTCTCACCTTTTATGTTTGCACTTGCCTTGTTAATGTGGCGTCAACATAAAATGTGAGGAGAGAGAGCGGGAGTGTTAGCATACAGCTGTGGGGATGCGTGCCACATTCTGCAGCCGAAAGCGAGGAGAAAGGAAACATGCAGCACACAGAAACGAAAGAAGTGAGTAAAAGAGAGAGAAAGTACAGGTACATTCTGCTTACTGGAATTAGTCCTGAAAGCAAACACTGGCAGGTAGAAAGACGCAGAAACGCTGGGTGCGGCTGCAATGAGGAATGTGCTTAAGGCATCTTACCACACCCAACCTCTTTTGCCTCACTCCCTCCCTGCCCCCACTTTATCTCTCACTAAGTCCTCCATCGCTTGACCCCGCCCTCGCTGAGTCACCTGGCAGCCTTTCAGCAGGTGTGCAATTCTGGAACAGAGAGGAAGGTTGGCCTGCACACCTGGCTGATGATCTATGGCGTCACTAGAGGGCCATTTGATTAAGATATGTGTTTTGAAAATGCCATCTTTAGAGAATGGGAAATTAATTGCATTGCATTTTTCTAAGTTATTAAATAGGAATATGCAATGTAAATACACAAAAGGGGTTTTATTGGAAGATGAAAATGCAAACACGAGGCAGTTAAACATGAGATGAAACAATTTTTTTCTACCAGAAAAGATGGATGTTAGACAGAAGTTAGCCCTAATTAAAGATGAAACACTGTATAATACATTTTCATCGAAAAGTGCCTTGCAAAACAAGTTGTAACACTTAAACCTTTTCACACTTTTTCTTGTCTCAACCATAGATTCCAGTGTATGTCACTGCGATCGCATGTGATAGACCCACACAGAGTTGTACACAATTTAGAACGTTAAACAAAAATGATATCATGGTTTGTTTTTTACAAATAAAAATCTAAAAAGTGTGCCTCTGCAGAGACATCTGGCACACGTTTGGGGGTGTTTCTCTAACAGCTAAAGATGCAGGATTTTTCTGCATTTACAAAGAGGAGCTTGTTTCTTGTAGCCACCATTAAAAATGGGAAAGACAACAAATCCTGCCGTTCAGGTAAGGCAGATGAGTGAATGTGAACTGCTCTTATCAACGTGTCTAGATTTACTGTCAGAAGAATGACAAAGAAATTTAAACTAAACAGTGAGAAGGAACACTGGAGAGGCCAAGTTTGCGTTGTCGCCACACACAGTGAGAAGGATGGCAAGGCAGATATAAAACCTCCAAATTTCACTCATCCAGCACTTTGCATCTAGTTAACCAATTCTAATCAAAGGGTGAGGAACTCTGCAGCGCTCTTCCTCTCATGACTGGCAATGAATTGGAGGCTAAATGTGCATCTGTTCTGTTAGAGCCAAAAGAGAGTGAAATAAGAGTGTTCATGCTGAAGCTGGGTCAATCTGTTGTTGAGTGAATCTGCATTCAGGGAAATCCAGCCAGTTCCAAATTACATTTCCGTCACACCTTTCTCTGAATACTTTAATTCATCTCCATTGCTGACGTCGCTTTTGTTCCAGCGCAGATTTAATCTGTGCACTCCGGAGTCAATGAGACACTTGGTGAATGTCGAGCAGCGGCACAATGAAGTTACTCTTCAAGTCTCCTGTATCTGCGTCTTTGTCTCGGTCTCTGTGAGCTCTCCCAGCATGCTTTTCTCACGCTGTAATGTCACACCTGCGTATAAGGTGACTCCCAGGAGTCTGACGCTTCGAAGTCAGTTTTGCACTGCAGTGGTGGCCGGAAAGATACACACGCACACATTTCTTTTGCAGACCTGTAAAGCTGCGTAACAGTGGTGCCGTACGAAACTGATACGACATGGCAGAAACGATACAGCATCTTTATATAATTTTCTTTAGTTTGCATTGAGAAACACTAGCAATCTACTATTTTTTAAAAACATATATGTATATTTTTTTATTATTATTTGCAATAAAAAAATAGTTATTGCTACTACAAGTTACCCAACTTAAAATATATTTTTTGTGAATAAAATACTTTGGTCAGAAAGAAAATGTATGTGCCTACAATTAAGCGATGTGAAGCTAAAGTAGCACCTAAAATTATCTCTGTCAAGTACTTCCAAATGAGTTTTGTGTCATGATCCTGACAAACCTGCATGTGTGCATTATCATCACATGAATGTCTGGATATGTTTACTGCTGTAATCGTAGCTGGAGGCCCGTCTCAAGCACTGGATGTGTTTTTAGCTGTGGGTGGAGACGCAATCAGCCCAGGTATGAGAAAAGTCCCTGTAATGCACAGTAAGTTTTAATTTGTCTTTCCTAAATCATTGTGCGTGATAGGTTTTGTAGAGGACGGAGAAAATGCTGCTGTGCCGTCACTGCATACCTACAAACAGGTGTTGTCACCCTGGTGCTATTATTACCTCTGCGTGCCGACCGATAATCATGATTATTGGGAAACCGCACTCATAACTTCCACAAAGTCTGCTTGATGAAATCAGACGATGACTCGTGAAATTATTTGTTATGTTGTTCCTGGTTTCAAGTTTGAAGCCAAATGTAGGCTGAAACAGAGGCAGTTAACGTGGAAAGTTTTTAATGATGAGAAACAAAAACTTACAAAAGTAACAGGACGTTAAACTGAGTGTAATAGACAGTCTAACGGAAGAAATGATAAAGGAACCAGATGAACTAACTAGAGGAAATGTGGCACAGCTATGGCCATAAAAATACATGCAAACTAAGTGAGGAAGACCGATTAACATAAAAGGAGATGAACAAAAACTCAAGGAGAACTACAAACCAAAGGGGAAAAGAATCATCAAATTTAAACCAAACTAAAATAAACTAAGAAACTAAACACAGTGGAATCAACTTCTACGGCAACATCCCTCTGACAATAATGAACGCAAAGAAATGAACTAAATATGGCAAGACCCAGAGAACATTCCACAAGGAATTGATCAAAAACAAAAAGAAAGTCTAAAACCAAACGTGATAAAACATAAACAGTAAAGCTCTTTTCTCCACCTTTCAGCTTCATTGTGAACTTCGTCTGGAGGGTCTTTGCTCTCAATATGATTGAGAACAAAATGAATCTACATCTGAACAGTAGTTCAGTAGTTCTTGGACAGGTTGTGACTTCAAAAGCACCTCTCATTTACAAATACACAGACAAGTGTTTGCACCAGAAACTTTTCTGACACGGTGTCAATTATGGGTTGTCGAAGGAAACTGTAGCTCAGCAGGTGGATGCTGATAGAGGTCGAAACATGCAGGCAGTCATCCTTATCTACCTCATGGAAAAGAACAAGCTGATAAATAAGCTGAAACTCGATCCCACAGTAGGACTCATAAAAAATGTTTGACGTGAACTATCTCATTATTTTCATATTTAAAAGTCTGAAAAGACACAATTCATTCTTTTCAGAATGACGCTTCATCATTGTTGATGCAACAGCCTAATCCTTATGAGCAGATTGAAACTCAATTTTGCCCTTGTGCGCACTTTAGCTGGGATTTTAGATCTCCTGACTCCTGAATGAAGACATATTTTCTCACAATATACCAATGACTAACATGTTTTGACCCAGTTTAGCAGGTGGGTCATTTATGAGAATGTCTGATTAATGTTTGTTTTTGTGAGCTTCTAATTTTCCACCGAGTGAATGCTGTATCTGGTTATTTATTTGCGATTTAAACTGATATGACTCACAGGAAGTAATGACGCTGACAGTTGTCAATAGATGCATAAAGAGTCTCAGCAACAATCTACTGAACAATGTGGTCCTGCAGCGCCATCTACTGGACTGAGTCGGACAGTGGGATGCAAATGTACTGTCATTCCTGGAATTGGAGCAGCAAAGTTTCCCACAAAGTTTTATGAACAAAACAAAGTTGGATTTGAGTCACATTTTTTAAAAATCAGTTAATCTGGGAATTTTCTCTAGTTTCATCCACAGTCCAGAAGAACTTGTAACCATTATCCTGTGTCAATATGCGTTTTCATAAAATGACAATAAAATAAATGAAAAAACAAAAACACAACTGAAGTAATAATAATAATAATAATAAAAAGTTTTAGATTTTTTTCAGTACTATTATTTTATTGTTGTTGTTGTGTTGTTTAAAAACACAATACAGCTATCAAATATAAATTATTGTTGACGATATTTGCCCATTATTTTTGCTTTAAATTTTTGCACTGTGTTTCTATATGAATAACTATCTGGATCAGTGGTGCCCAAGTCCACACAGCAAATTTGGAAGAGTTATTCAAACTCCTGCAGAGTTGAACTCAGTACTTTGAAAGTCTCTATGTTGGTGCACTCTGGATCGTGTTAAAATGACACTTCTGTAAGTGTTATTTGTGACAGAGTTGAATCAGCACTCTCGGTAGTTGAAACTGAAGTCATGATTTGCCTAACTAACACTATGAATGTGTTCATTATGAAGCACAAAACAATCAAGAGCTGCTTAAGTTTAACTCTCTGGAGTAATACCAACACATAGGGAAACTAAACCTTATGTTGCTGAATTAGACAAGTGTTGAATCAACACTGCACTTTTAACATACCACACCAACACAAATCTAACACTTTTGAATTTGCTGTGCCAGCCTGCAACTCTTAGATTCAGTCCCACTCCACCTGAAACAAGGTGTGTTGGACTGCTGATGGACCAGTCATTTGACTGGCCCATTAGTTGGAGATCAAAATGATGCAATGTTTCTTCACCGCTGACAGGGCAACTCCCTTGCCAGTGCCAACAGAAACTTTCAGGCGGTGTTTGTTGTTGATAACCCATTTCCATGGCACGGAAAGCGAAAATGACTCTTAAGTTTCGTTTTCCTGACGGCAGCTGATTCTGTCAGATATAAATAACGCGTCAATCTGCAGAGCGTCATTCAGAGGAGCAGCGCTGCGTTTTCTCCTGATCTCCAGAAAATAAAGCAAAAATGAGCAAACCGACAGGTAATACCCTTTTTTTCTCCCCCCACATAGGTATATACACGCAGGATTGTCCTCGTAGTTTCACTGAGACTCAGTTTAGTTTAGTTTTTTATTATTATTCTAGAAACAAGTGCGTTGCTTTGTTTTGTTTTGGACGCTGGCGTAATCATTAGAATGATCCTAATAAGTTAAAGTGAAGATCTATGTGTATGTTGAGGTCATAACAAAAAGCATAACATGTAATAAAGTGAAGCGTATTGGGCGATGACTTCATCATGAAGGCAGAGTTCCACTGAAAAACAAAGCTTTTTGACTTAATTTAAAAAAAAACATAATAGTGACTCGCGTCGAGGAAAAACAAACTTCATATGATAAGTTTGCCTGTAAACATTATTATTAAAGAATATTTTGGGCGAACTAGAGTAAACAAATGGGTCAAATGCGCCCCCTTATGGTCAGATGTTGACTGAATAAGGGTGCCAAATTTGCACGTACACCCCACTGAAAAGTCAGTAGTGAAAAATTTTTTAAATGAGAACATAAATAGAATAACTATAAATCCAGAAGCAGGTTTCAGCACCCTGCACGGTTTTCTGTCAAAGCCTATAATGGAAAGTTGAGTGAAAGGAAAAAGTGCTGTAGGAAATAGTGAAGACGTCTTAAAAGGTTTCTTTCTTTATTGACTCTGCGTATCATTACTTTTGTCAGAAAAATTAACTGTGCGTTATAATCTGTGAGCTGTGTCGTGTGTAGTTAAAAATAAAAAAGGTTCATTCACAAAAAGAAATTAGCAACACATGTCAATGTGAAACGTTTGTATGGCAGTCTTTCAATTAAAACTTATGTCTCTCAAGGGAGACAGGTGGAGCGCCTCAGGGACTCCTATGGGTCAAACGACGATAGTAATTTAATATTGCAAGATTTGATATCAGTCTGATGTCTGGAAAATGACAGATTCAAGTTGCGAGGGTCACGCTTAAAACGTTACAATTCTACCCTTGCAGGTTAATTTGGGAAATAATTGAGATTTTCGGTTTGTGCCAGACTGGATTTTAACTTTCTTGTTTTTTTTTTGTCTACTCAATTAGAATGGACTCCATCTGTATGGCTGGACATATTTGATGAAATCCTTTATGATGACAATGAGCTGGACTACGGAGACGAGTGGAATCTAAACTTTAACTACAACCAAACAAGTGAAATCACCAAAGAAGAGAGGAAGAGAGGCTGGAAAGTGTATTCCCATTGTGCCTTTGCAAGGTACGTATTATGCTTCACTTATGTTTTCTTTTATATATATACTAAGATATTAATGTTGATGTTCTGTCTAGTTTTTAGTTGCGATTACTATGCAAGTTATGTGAGGAAGCATTTTATACTGGCGGGATCATTCCTTTAAAGCTGTGACAGAAACTTTTGCAAGTTGTTAATTTAGTACAGGATGTGATTTATCTAGAAATGCTATCCAGAAATGTACTCTCTTTCAGAGGGAATATGATGTAAAATCTTGAAGCACCATTTAAGATCTGGTAAAAAAAAAAAAAAGCTATGTTGAATATGCATCTAAAGTCTGCATCCATCATCTGATTTTCCCCAGGTTCCAGTGCGAAAATTGTCGTAAGATCTGGCCTTCGGCTCGAGTGGTGGTGCTGTTCCGCTACCGGGTGAGAAATGGCCGGGGTACGGTGATCATGCGACCTTTTGGTCAAGCTTGTCGTCGTTGCCAGGACGCGCCATTTGAACTTCCAGGTTTCACCAGGAAAGAAGTGGAACAGGCTTTGCTCAGGCTTTTTTCCAAAATCCGTAAAAATTGCTACGGGGAGGAGGAAAGCGACGAAGCTTCTTCAACATCCTCTGCTAAAGTGTGGACCAAGCCCCACGAGGCAGATCTGTGTGAGGCCTGCCGTCAGGGCATTTGCTGTCTGGACGATGAGTGAAGGAGAGACATCCCATCTTTCTCGTTTTTGGCAGACCTTATCCTGAACATTTTGAGGTTGTAAATATGTTTGTCAGATGAAGTTTGACCTGTTTCTGGGAACAAAAATCAGCTTTTGTAAGATTATAAACTTGTGCATTTTTGGTAAAAATGTATATTTCACCTGATTTTATAACGATCTATACTTTTATTATTCAATTAAGGTAATCTAAATATATCTGTTCAAGTGGAATTTTATTGCTTTTTTTGTCAGATGTTCCACAAAGTTTGATTATGTTGGCAATGGGGATGTTTTAACAAAAAAGTTTTGGATATTTGTCTGCTGTTAATTCCTCACATTGTAAAGAGATTTATTATATTTAGATATATTTTCTAATATCTCATTTATGAAACCAATACTTACAGTGGTTAAGGTACATATATGTTAGAATAGGGTGAAGTATTTCCTGTCCTGTTTACTGTATGTTCACTTAACCTGGCACAAGCTCAGCAGATGGAAAATACCAATAGAATCAGGATGTTTGTGTAAAAATAAAAATCTAAGCCCTGTAGGTGTGTGTCTGTGCGTGATTTTGTTACAGTATGTTTGCTCTTGAGTGAAGTTACTGACAGTGGGTAGAGTAGCCAGAAGGTTTTCTTAAATAAGATTGACATTACATCAAAATATTACTGGTAAAACTACACTATAATACACCGAGCCAAAGCATGCATCATTCAGAATGTTGTTAGAGTATTTGTAACTAGTTGCTACACCTCTCTGATGGAAAAAGCTCTATAAAAAGTCGTTTATGATTTAATTTGATGAATATAAGACAATTATTATTTAAGCTTGAATTATATTATATTCTATAGATGTGACGGTTTAAAGTCATTTTGTTTTTGTTTACTTTTTTATTGCAAGTGTAAATAAGTGATTTTATATTTAATGGATTACACCTCAGTCCAGCAGATGGCGCTAATACACCGATTAAAATTTACAGAAGAAGAAGACGACGAGTTTGCTTTCTTTACTTTGTGTAAGTTGTTACTCAACTGCTTAAATGCTTGCTATAAATGTTGTTTATCAACGCCACAGTAAAAACAGTTTTTGTCCTGTTCCCGTTAAAATTTCGTGTGATTTAGTCAGCGGTCTGTTTGGCTCTGTCAATGGGCGGAACCCCAGCGTGATACGTCAACCATTGCGTCACTTGTGTTGGGGGGCGAGAGTAGAGGGGGGGTGGATCGTTGTCAGAACTGCGCCTGCGCACTGTATCCGGTCTGTTCTGTGTTAGCAACAACAAAGTGAAGCTGGAGCAGAGTCCGTGTCGCCTCTACGCTGTCAGCAGCATCTCCACTATCGTCCTCCGCCGGGGTCCGCTGGCTGAGAGGATGGTTGAGCGAAACGGCAGCCGGAAAACCGAATGACATCTGTAAGACGATGGCTGTTGACGCACGCCAGTTTCCAAACGTGTAAGTAGAAGCGGTCCGGCTGTAGTGTTGGTAGTTGGAGCTAACACAAACCGCTAACGTTTAACCGAAGAAGAAACGGAGAGACGGCTGACTAGCCGCGGTAACAACGCCGAGGCAGGCGGCTGGTTTTTGGGGAGGTAACGTTTCTCACCACAACACCATCGCTTAACAGACGACCTGAAAACAGGGCAGAGCGAAGATGAAGCTCATAACTCGCAGCATGTACGACACCCTGCAGTTGTTTGGTTGGTGATTCATACAAACTGTCAGCGGGTTGAAACAAAGGAGCGTTCAGGGGGAAAAAAAAGAGACCGAGGGGCCGCATGGACAAACACATGCAGAGAGAAGTCGGCTGTTGTTTGCTTGGTGCTCCATTTCATGCTGACACACTTCGGAGAATAACCACCCGAGGTCTGACCTGGATATTGGTCTGATACACAGCGACCCAGCCAATTTCGTTAAAAGTCGCTCTGTGTGTCATCACAGCTGCTGCTGTGTCCGACTCCAACAAGTTTTATGTCTGAGCAAACAGACTTTGTCCTGCAGCACTTTATACAGCAGCGGAACAATCCCTACTTGAACTAAGTTAATGTGTGTCAGATTCTCCTGCAGTTGTTATTGATGCATTTATTGATTTCACTCAGAGTGAATTGCTATATTCTCCTAACTATATCTTAAAATCAAATGTGTTAAATGTTGTGTTATTCTATGATTACATAAAAACCTTGGCTAAATGTATTATTAGTTAATAAAGGATTAATTATTTTCAGACCTTGGGTGATTTCAGGTATTAAGGAATACCAAGGTTTTATTAAGTTACAGTTTCAGTGCTGCTATAATTGAAGTAAATATCTTTATAACTAGAAACATGAGAAATAACTTGAGTGATCAGAGTTTTCTTTAGCTGTATACAACCTGTATTTATACAGACTTCCCTCCACCTCCCTCACCTATTGCTGCATTTTGCTTTTTAGCTTACTGATAGAAAGGTTTTCTTTGCTTACAGAAAATACAAACCCCTGTGTTTGTAGATGTTTCCATTTGATAAAAACATAGGCAGTCTTGGAAACCAAAGTACTTATTAGTTTCACACCACTTAGGTATAGAATTACTGACACTAGCAAGTGTGCTGAATAGCATAGGTCATGTCTTTGTCGCAATTCTTAGCACTTGGGATCTATTAAGCAGCAAGTGGGCATTGTGTTCTCAAAGTTGATTTGTTAGAAACAGGAAAAAGAAAATGGCAAGCATGTGAGTGAGGTTGACAAGAGCCAAGTTGCGATGGCTGGATGAATTAGCTGGACAGTCAGCAAAACTGCAGCACCTCTGAAGTATTCCAGTGGTCATTATCTGTCATAAGTGGGTCAAGGAAGTAACATTAGCGAACGAGCAACAGGGAAACGGTGACGCTGATGCATGTCGAGGAGTAAAGGCTCCTCAACTTGTGTGGTCTCATTCAACCGTGTAACCCAAATTATTTTTGTAAAAACAAGGCTGCATCTGATACATGCTGTACCTCTACGTTGCAGAGGACAAATGTTGGTTTTTATGGCAGGCTGCAATCGACATCTCTGTTAAGCAGCCAGCCGCGTGCCTGAGTAAATAGGCCTGACTAATTAGCCAGCTAAAACCAGCTTGATATTTCATGCACAGTGAAATGTTATGTTAATGTTTCAACATTTAAAAAAAAAAACAGAATGTATTTCTAACATGTATTAATGACCTTTAACACACAGAATGTTAGATTTTATATTAACAGCAGGAATAACTTATTTTTAACTCAAAATTACAAGATTAATTAAAGCTAGTATATCATACCCGATATGCTCATACTTTATATACTTGCTTTGGATTTTTGTAAGAGTGAGAATGTGATATAACTCCACATTCTCAAGAACATGTTTCTGTTTCTGTTAATGAAAGTTACGGGTTGTGCTATTTGCGTTTTTTTTACGCCTTAAGCGTCTGTTCTTTAAATACGGGAGAACATATTTCAGCCAACCTACCCTCAGTGTGCAGCAACGCATGGAGAAAAGGCGCCGTAGGCCTACTCCACCCAGCAGGCTCTGGTCACTATAGCAACTTCTCTGGCGTCGCATTAAAAGAAGTTTAAAGAGCAACAACCGAAACACGGGAACATTTTTGCTGTTTTGAAACCTAAACTTTGCTACTGGCAACCAACCGTCACTGTCCACAAAAGTGTTTGCATTTTATCGCTTAATCAGATTATCATGTAAAGCTTTTCACGAGTTGGCCTTACTAATAAACTGAGTAATTGTTTTTTTTTTCCTCTACCTCTGTAATCTCTTACTATTCTTCAGCAATATTCAGTGTTTCAGTTGTTCTGTTTCATGAGGCCTGTGCAGCCCTGTGGAATAAATTAAACTCATTACTGTGGATTTTTCCAACATCGGTCAGACCCCCCTTCTCAACTGAAACGATGGACGTTTAGTTAACAGGAAATTAGTCAAATGTTTCAGCTCCAGCTGACCACTAAATGATCATATTTTACACCACTAGATAACTCACAGGAAGACTGCCAAGTTCAAGACATGTAATCCTTTGAATTCCAGGATTCCTTCTTGACCAGACTTCCTGTCCTTATTTAGTAAAAGAGGCAAGCAAGATATGGAGGTGAAGTGAACTGGAAGTAAACTAGTGTGCACAAAACGGAGGGACGCAGACAGACTGACCCATTAACTGTTGCTGCCCACTTCACTACTTGGTTTTACACAAAAACACAGAATCCAGAAGTGTTTTGGTGTTATGCTCAGTCTGAGCAGCTTCTGTTTGACCCTGTCAGCGTACATTTTTGCTGTCCGTCAGCGCAGAGGAGGGGGGAAAGACACTCATCCGCGTTATTCAAATGTTCCCAAGTCCGGGCAGTCGGCGGCCAATTGTAGCCAGCCTAAAAAAAGGGGGCTCTTTGTGAAGGCCAGACAGATGGCCATAGAATGAAGACTGTAATGATACCCTCAGCAGGCCAGCACACACACAGACTCATGCACTCGTCACACACTCGGCTCATTACAGGCCGTCGATGTGTGCGTTCAAGACAGGCTTAGCTGTTTGTGAGGAAAAGGGAGAGGTGGGGAGGATCAGGAAGGAAACGAAGCAGAACACGTTGATAAAGACGGTGCAACATGTGAGCAGAGAAAGATGTTGCTTGTTTGTTTGGGTTTTTTTCCCCTGCATCGCTCCATTGTTATTGTTTTTGCAATATATTTAAAAAGTTTCTCCGGTTGCCGGGAAGAGACGGAAGGACTTGCAGTGTTGTGAAAAAGTACTTGCCCTCCTTGCAGATTTTATTTCCTTTTTGCTTTTGTCACACTTAAATGTTTCGGATCATCAAACTAATTATAACAAAAGATAACCTGACTGACTTTAAATAACGATCTACTCATTTATTAAGGGAAAGAAAGCTAATGCTACCTCGCAATGTGTGGAAACTGCAATTTCCCCTCTTACTTTTGATTAGGATGACCACATTTTGTGGGTACATTCAAAGCTGGTAAGTAGATTGAATCTGGCTGAAAACATGGAGAAAGCTAAAAGATCTCAAAAAGCAGTAAATGGTGCTAATTATTTCAAAAGAAATTAAATGAGCAAAAAGTAATTGATATTTGTTGGTGTGAAATGGTTTACAAAGTCATTCCTAAGGCTTTGATTCTCCACCAAGTCACACTGGGCACCATTATCCAAATATTGAGTAAATATGGACCCTTCCCGAGAAAGACTCATCCAGATAATCCCAAGAGAATCAAAAATATTTGAGGACTGCATGCATCAACTAAATTAGTTGAGGTCAATGTTCGTGAATCAACAATAATGTGAAAGGCAAGTATTTTTATATTTCCAAATACTTTCTTGCTTTATGTCCTGAGTGACTTGATGAATCTGAAGGAATCATGCACTCGCTTCTCTCAAACACAAAATCCTGTTGGAGAATGTTAGCCCATAATTTCCTGACATTAAATTGAAGCTTCTTCTAATCATCGAGTGGGACAACGATTCAAAGTAAATCTGCGTGTCTATTCTGAAAACAAAACAAACAAACCAAATTAAGGTTTTGTACAGGTCTAGTCAAAGTCTGGCTTGAGAT